CTATTTACAGATAACATCATTTTGTATGTTGGAAATCATAAAGAATCCACTAAAACCTATTACAACTAGTAAATGAGTTCAGCAAGATTTAATATTAATATATAGAAATCAGTTGTTTCTGTACACTTGCAATGAACAATCTGAGATTGAAATTAAAATTTATTAATTTAACAGAAAAAGCTTGTGGTAATATCTCATTGTGTGCTTATTAGCCATTTGTATATTTTCTTTGGTGAAATGACTGTTAAAGGCTTTTGTCTATTTTTTAATTCCGTTATTTGTTCTCTTTCTGAGTTGTAAGAGTTTATTATATATCATGAATACAAGTGTTGTATCAGATACATGATTTGGAGATATTTTCTGCTGGTCTATGGCTTGTCTTTTCATTTACTTAGTTGTGTTTTTTTTTCTTTTTTAAGTGCAGAAATTTTTATTTATTTATTTATTTTTTCCTTTTTGTCTTTTTTCGTGTCCGGCAACGGATCGCAACCCTCAGTGTCGCGCCCGTACCGGACCGGGACCGGCAACGGGATTGCAAACCTCGATGCTGCGCCCGCACCTCGCTCAGCCAGTGAGTGGGAACCGGTCTGTATGTGGGATCCGAACCCTCGGCGGGAGCGCCGCCACGCTCCCAAGTGGCGCACTGCAGCAGTGCGCCACCGGGCCGGCCCAGAAATTTTTATTTTTAATAAAATTCGGCTTATCAGGTTTTTTTCTTTTATGTCTTGTGCTTTTGATGTCGTGTCAAAGAACTCTTTGCTAATCCAAGGCACAAAGATTTTCTCCTATGTTTAGTTCTAGAAGTTTTAGTTCTTACGTTAAGTCTGTGAGCCATTTTGTTAATTTTTATAGGTGGTGTGAGATAAGGATCTAAGTTTGTTACTTTGCATGTGGATGTATGTTTGTCCCAGTACCAGTTATTGAAAAAACTGTTCTTCCCACATTAAAATTTCTTGACACCTTGGCCAAAAACAATTAACCACACACGTGGGGGGTTATTTCTAAACTCTTAATTCCCTTTCACTGATCTATTCGCCTACTCATATGCCAATACCAGAGTGTGCTGATTATTGTAGCTTTACAATAAGTTTTGAAATTGGGTAATACAAGTCCTCCAACTTTTTTCTTCTTTTTCAGAATCATTTTAGCTATTCTCGATCTTTTAGCATGTTAATAATTGCCATGTTAACAACATTGAATCTTCCAATTCATGACCGTGGAACATCTGTTTTGGTTTTATTTAATTTCTCTCAGCAGTGTGTTGTAGTTTTTAGTGTAAAATGTTACCCTTCTTTTGTTAATACTGGATTTCAGCACCTGCTCTAACCTGGTTGAACAATCACTCCACAGAGGTGGGGTGATGAGGTGATGCCACAGACACTGTTTTTACCTGAAGTAATGATATTTTCATGAATAAATGTGTCTTAGCTTGTATGCCTTTGGTCCATTTCCAATCTTTGGCAGTTTTGTCCAGCTTTATAGTTATTTTTGGGGAAGAGGATTTGTTGACCTCCTCAAACCATCATGCCAGAAGTCTGAAGTTCCAATCTGTAGCATCTTGCCATTGATTCTGGTGTAACTTAACTGCCTATTTGATTCTCAGTGGTCACATAAATCTCTTTCTCTTACATGCTCAGTTAGGACATGGAACAGCAGCAACAGAACCAACCTGGGAGAAGTCAGTATCTAGAACATTAGAACTACAGTCAACGTGGGTTTTTCTGATGGTTAATTAGGAGTTATTTACAATGATCTGGCATTATTTAAACTTTTTTCCCTCTATAACTGATAAAATACATTAGCGTTGAAAATGGTAAATCATTACTTACATGTTAATTATATACATTATATACATTTTGTATCAGCTAAAAAGATTAAAATCTTGCCTTGTGTAATGAGATTCTAGAAACATTGGTCTCCATTGCACTAACATTCTCCCTGAATTTTTTCCATTTATTAATTCAATAAAAATTCATGTATTGGTTATCTAAATTATACAGATGCACAGTGAGTGATTTCTAGATGAAGCAAATACAGATTTTGTCCTTAAGGAGTGTATAGGTTAGTATAAGTGATTCAGTGTGAACATAAAAATTGTAGATAGGAAGTGCTGGATGCCATTAAAGAGTTACAGATCTGTGCTGTCGAAGTTCAGTAGGGTGATTGAATTTTCCCTATCTGAGTGATTCCATTATCATCCTTCACTTAGTCCTTCTTGCCCACATTCACTCCCTAGCTGCTTTTACAGCACCCTTGTGTTTGTTATCCATTCAATCTGGTCATGGTAATATTATGTACACAGTGCTTTCACATGCACTTTTCTTAGTATTCATCTGGTTCATATCAGCCTGATACATAGGTATGGAGCATTATTATTCCCAGTTTACAAATAAGGAAACTGATATCAGAGAGGCTAAGAGACTTGTCAAACCTCACATTGTTAGGAAGTGATAGTGTCAAGTTTTGAACACAGGTCCTTGTACTCGAAATCCTGGGCTCTTTCCAGTGTGCTGTATTCCACCTAACAAACTTCCTTTCCTCTCCAGCCAGTAGATAGTCAGAAAAAATTAAGCTTGGTGAGTCAGGTCAGACTTGGAGGCAGCTCCGTATGTTTCTGGACAGGCACAGAAATGAGGCAGCAAAGCAAGACTCTGTTCAGGCTACTCTTTGAACCATTTCCCTGTAAGTGTTCTTAATGACTTTTAATGTTGCGATAATCAGAGATTTGTATTTCCAGTTGCTTCTTATACATTTCTTCTATAGGTGTTGGATTGCTATTTTAGACAGAGCATGTTCAAAACCAGATTCATCATCTCCCACTCAATCTGTTGTCTTTTCTAATGTCCTCTTTCTCTGTTAATGACACCTCCAACTACTCAGTCTCCTAAGCCAGAAACCTGGAAGTCCTTTACTTCTTCCTGACCTTCATCCCAAGATCTAATTCTGTCATTTCCACCATATCTCATAGGGTTACTCTGAAAGCTGTGAATGAGACGTATTTATTTCCTCTGAGGCAACACATCCGTTGAAGCAAACAGGGCGAGAATAAGTCCTCAGAGGCTGTTCAGACTTAACTTTCTTATAATACTGACACTTTTTTCAGTGAATGGTGTACTTAAATCTGAACTAAAACTTCATAATCTTACATTTTTACAGCATTCTGCACTGTTAGAAGCACTTCCACAGAGGGAGGGAAGAAGGAGAGAGCTAGAGAGAATGAGTCATTTGCCCAAGATGACACAAGTAGGAAGTGGCACAACCAGGACTGGCACTCAAGTTTCCAGACTTCTTGTTGGCTAAGTCCAGAGGCCTCTTAAACTAAAAACCAAAGTTGGTTTTACTACTTCATCGCTTATTATCTGTGACCTAGGGTGAATGATTTAGCTCTTTTAAATGTCAGTCTCTAAATATGAGGGTACTTGGAAAAGTATGTGAAAAAATTTAGGTGATCTTTTAATTATATTTTTGCACAGATTTTTTGAAGTGCCCTTGTATAAGGTAGAGATATGATGATACTACCTATTTCACAGAATTGTTGTAAGGGTTGAATGATCCATATTAAGAGTCAGAGTGCCATGTAGAAAGTGCTCAATAAATGGTAGCTATTGGTTACCCTTCCTTCCCACCTAACAAGAGACTTCAGGTTGGTCAGTCTTTCTCTGCCATGTCCCTTGGAGAATTGATTTCGTCTCGCGTATTTATTTAGATTGCCTCTCTTTATACTCTCTTGCGGTACACAGGCATGTCCAGGAGGTTGTAGCCCTCTTGGAAATGTCATTCAAAACTAGGCCCGCAATTTTCATGTTTTCCTCTCTGCCACTCTTGTACTAATTTCCCCATTAAGGTTGTGGCGGTACACAGGCATGTCCAGGAGGTTGTAGCCCTCTTGGAAATGTCATTCAAAACTAGGCCCACAATTTTCATGTTTTCCTCTCTGCCACTCTTGTACTAATTTCCCCATTAAGGTTGTGGCATAACTCTGATGAAATCTTTTAGTTAAAAATTGTGAGATTAAATTTGTACTTTCTGACCCCAAAGTGAAGGAGGTTTTCGGTTCAATAGTGGGAATACATTTCTAAGATGAGAACTGTCCAACAGTAGAATAGGCTGCCTTAGGAGGTACCAAAGTCACCCCGGGTTACAGGTGCACAGAGGCTTTCGACTAGCAGGTCTTTGCTTGCCTCTGCTTCATATCTCCCAGCCAGTCCCTGAGGTCTGTGGCTGTTTTAATATACATTGCTGTAAGGATTGTAACAAATAGGTAAACTAACTGTCGCATTTTTGTGGCTTTGGAATTTTTGGTTCAAGATTTTATACAGTCATAGTTAAATAAATTGACAAGGTGGCAGATGAAGTATAACTTAGTGAAGTCAGGAAGTTTGTTATCCTTCCCCGGTTATTGCCAAATGCAGGGAGCAGTTTAATATTGGATTATAATGGAAGAGATGGCTCTCTAATCTCCTGCAATGCAGAAGACACACACAGCTGTGCAGTGAGGTGACGATAGCTGTGGGCCTGTGTTGAGAATAACTGGGCACATCCATACTGAAACATTACCTATCTTAATAAAGTAGAAGAAAATACTGAGGTCTTATCATTTACAAAACTTTTATTTGCAAAGTTTGACTGATGTTGCATGCTGCTTTCAGGATTAAGAAAATTAATCCTGAAATTGAGGATTAAGGCACTGCTGTGTCCTTCTATGACATGTTTTATTCTCAACTGTCACCCTCCCTGTCCCTTGCCCACAATCATTACAGTGAACAGAAAGTCTGCTTGCTCTACAGTGGTGTGTCTTGAATAGTGCCCATTAATTTTCAGTAGTTACCCCGGCCTGCATGTTAGCCTTCAGTTTAATGGCCTTTTTTATGTTCATTCATTTTATTTTATTTCCCATCGTGGTTTTGTTTATTTCTTTTTTGTTTTCTGTTTTTTCTATTCTCTTTTTTAAAACCGTCGTGGTTTGCCCTTCATATTTCCCAATGTTTGCACATGACAAGATGTTGCCATCCCAACATTACCTCCCACTTCACTGACCAGTGCCACTACTGACCATCTAGCACCAGCCACAACGGGACCACTGCCTTCAGCTCCTCGGGATGTCGTGGCCTCCCTGGTCTCTACCCGCTTCATCAAATTGACATGGCGGACACCTGCATCAGATCCGCATGGAGACAACCTCACCTACTCTGTGTTCTACACCAAGGAAGGGACTGCTAGGTAAGTGTCTGTATCTTGGTCCACCTCTTCCTCACCCTGGCTCTTCATTATGCAGGATCTGTACCAATTTTCAGTACCAAAAATGTGATCAGTGAGATGCATCTTTCCTAGTTTTAGGTCATTAAATAAATTACCAAACAGACTGAAGTCCTGGCATTTTTTCCTACCTTTCTGGGATGACTTGGGGAGAGAGTAGATAGAGCTATTTAGGTGGAAGTATTAAAATATAATTAGTGCTACTCTTTTTTCATAAGATTTAGGCACTGCAGATTCTAAACAATAAAGTAGATATAATTTATTAATCTTAACTGAATATTAGCCTGCACCCTTGTGTGTGCTGCAGAGCTTCAGGGGGGTCTCCTTGATGATGCAATCGTAGTGATTAATTCTCCTAAAACAGCATTTTCATGAAATTACTCTTTATCTCCATCCCTCTCAGAAATTCACATTGCTTTTCCATTGCTTGCCGGAGAATATATAGACCTTCCAGGCTGCTTTACTCCACAGTCTGGCTTTATTTTGTTTGTCCAACCTCATTTTCCTTTTTTTGCCAGTTTAACTCACTTTCTAGTGAAACCAGTCTGATTCTTATCACTATAGCCTTTTTTCCCAGTCTCTTCTCTTCAGTTACTTCACCCTTTCTCAGCTAAAACTAAATTCAGTTGATCCTTCTTGGCCCAAGTGAAGCCCCATGAAGCCTTCACAGAGCTTTCCCCACCTTTTTTTTTTTTTTTTTAAACACATACTGTATTTCTTTATATATGTGTGTGTGCTGCTGTATTGGCACTTGATTATGATAGCACGTGATCTTTTACTACTCTAAATTGTTATTCTTCGACTGTGTTATGTGTGTTTGTGTTGTTTTCCCAACCAGAACTTAAACTCTTTGGGAGGAACCATGCCACATGCCAACTGTATGCTCACACACCGCTCAGTAGACTCCTTCGTTGCACTCTTTCTTCACACCAGAATAAGAAAGCGAAAATATCTGTTTTGGTTAGAGCCTTAACATGCCAAATAAAGCTTATGTTTCTACTCAGCTGCTCACAGTTGACATATATTGTATTTAATACCAGACTGGCAAGTTTAGCAAGTGCAGGACCCCTTCATTTCATACTCTTGAGAAGTCTGAGTGACATTATTTGAGACCAATAGGTGGAGCCACTCATTGGGTAATGGTTACCTGAATACTGTGCTGGATGTTTTGGGTTTTACAAAGGTAAAGAAACATAGTTCTGTACACAAAAAGCAAGACTTTACTACCAAACAACAAGTTTCAGAATCAGTGTTAAAGTATCTCCAATAGACTTTGAAATCTCATTGCAAACTCATGAGAATTCACACAGGGAAGAAAACATTTAGTAATCCCTCTGCATGATAAGCTTTATTTCCACGATAGGGTCTTTGCCCTTGTGTCTTCTACGTGAAATGCATTTTCATCCAAATAACTATGTCGTCCTCAAATGACACCTCCTCAGGGCTTCCCTGAATATAGCCCCCTCTGTCACTATCACACAGTGGTATACTGGAGCCAGCTTGTTCCCAGGCCAATTGTTAAATCTGCAGGAGATTTTGCAAACCTGATGACATGACTTGGCAGCTTGAAATTGGGAATGGTGGGAATATTTGGTTGACAGTGCTACATACCAGAGCCTATTGTTAAACATTTACTGGAACACCACTGCTGTCACATCACCCTGTTTTTTTGTTTGTTTGTTTGTTTGTTTGTTTGTTTGTCTTTTTCCGTGTCCGGCAAAGGATCGCAACCCTCAGTGTTGCCCCCGTACCGGACCGGGGACCGGCAACGGGATCGCAACCCTCGGCGTTGCTCCCGCGCCTCGCTCAGCCAGTGAGCGGGAACCGGTCTGTATGTGGGATCCGAACCCTCGGGGGGGAGCGCCGCTGCGCTCCCAAGCGGCGCACTTATCCAGTGCGCCACCGGGCCGGCCCCACATCACCCTGTTTTTGTTTTTGCTTTTATTTTGTTCTTTCCACAGCACTTATCACTCTCTGAAATTTTCACTTTTATTAACTTATTTATTGTGTCTTTCTTGTTCAGTAGAGTATCTCCAGCTCCTGGAACAGGCCCTGGCATATAGTACCACTAAATAAATATTTATCAAGTGAATAAATTAATTTCAGTCAGTGGAGAAATAAAAGATTATTCAAGAAATCATGTTGAGATAATTGACTATCCATTTGGTGGGAAAAATAAAGGTTATATTCCTATCTTATATTGTGTATAACAACAAATTAAATATGAATTAAGAGAAATATTTTTAAGGCCAATAAATGTATTAGAAGAAAATATAGAAACTATTTTTTATCATTTGGGGAGTGGGAAAGGGCTTTTAAAGGAAGATAGAAAATCCAGAAGCCCTAACAGGAAAGATTGACAAAGTTTATTATAAAACAATGTAAAGTTCCATGTGATAAAACATCATAAACAAGATCAACAATAAGCTAGAAAATTTTTTGTAACATTTATAAAAGACTGTATTGATATACGATCTATTTAAAGAGCTCTTAAAATTTACAAGTAAGAGACAAATTATACAAGCAGGTGATTAACAGAAGTTAGTGGAAAGACCAGTAGAGTTAAAAAACAGTTTTCACTAGCATCTTGGAAATGAAAAATAATGAGTTACCATTTTTCATCTATAAAGCTGGCAAAAATTTTAAATTGATAATATCCAGTGTTAAGTGAATTAAAGGCTGGAAAGAAGTCCACTTAGGCTATTGGCGGCAGTATAAATTAGGATAGTCTTTACGGAAAGTTATTTAGCAAAATTTTAAAATCTTTTTAATGCCCATAGCCTTCAATCAAACAATTACACTTCTAGGTATCTGTCCTATAGATATATATTGATACGCATATGCATATGGCATTTATACAAAAATGTTTATTGTAGTATTTGTATAAGTAAAGGAAGGAAACAATGTAAATGTCCATTGATATGTTCATTACATATGGAATGGGCACATAATATGAAGTATGATGTGGCACATTTTTAAATGACATATCTGTATATGTTGATGGGTATGGAAGTGCCTAGGGCAGTGATTCTTAACCAGGATCAGTTTTGCCCTCCCATCCCTCAAGGACTTTTGGCAATGTCTAGTGACATTTTTGGTTGTCACAACTGGGGTGAGGGGGTTACTTATTGACATCTAGTGGGTAGAGGCCAGGGATGCTGATAAATATCCTATAATGTACAGGACAGGCTGCAACAACAAAGAATTATCCTGCCCAATATTTCAGTAGTGCCAAGGTTGAGAATCCCTGGAAAGAGCTGGTGAGATGCACGTCAGTACGTGCCTCAGTTAGGTCTCAGGATAGTACTGGTTTTGAGGAAGGAGAAGAACTGAGACTTAAAAAAAATAAATAAGGGCCGGCCCCGTGGCGCACTCGGGAGAGTGCGGCGCTGGGAGCGCAGCTATGCTCCCGTGGCGGGTTCGGATCCTATATAGGAATGGCCGGTGCGCTCACTGGCTGAGCGCAGTGTGGGCGACACCACACCAAGGGTTGCAATCCCCTTACCGGTCACAAAAAATAAATAAATAAATAAAACTCTACAGGTCTGTACTTTTGTATTTAAATGTTTTTAATGAGAATCTGTCACATTTAAAATGTTTAATTAGGGCCGACCCCGTGGCTCACTCGGGAGAGTGCGGCGCTAGGAGCACAGTGGCGGTCCTGGCACGGGTTCGGATCCTATATAGGAATGGCTGGTGCGCTCACTGGCTGAGCGCGGTGCGGGCGACACCACACCAAGAGTTGCGATCCCCTTACCGGTCACAAAAAATAATAATAATAATAAAATAAAATGTTTAAGTAATGTATCATGGGTTGGAGTAAGCAGGGATGACTAACAAATGAAGTTGTTGAGAGAAATATAGAAGTAAAATTGGCAGGGACAGGCAGACAAGTGCATGTAAAGGAAGAGGAAATGTAAGGTAAGGGTCCAGTTCCATCTGTGTGTCTGGTGCAAGAAGGATGGGAAGGCAGGAAAGCTAGCTTAATTGGCCCAGAGGTTTGGGTAGGTATTAGTGAGAGATTAGGATAAAGTAGAAGTTTGGAGCCAGATGCTGGAATGCCAGTAAGAATTTGGACATAATCATAGAAGAAGGGACCATTTAAGACTCTTGAACAAGTATGCACTGTGATTTCATTAAACAGTTTGTATAAGCAGTACTTTGGGGGTACCACACAGGATTAAAGCGAAAAAATAAAGTCGGGGAGACTAAGTAGCAGTTATGGTAATTTAGACGTGTGGCACTTGATGGCCTGGATGATAATGAGAGCATTGACTTGAAGTGGATAGGATAAATTTGGGAAATATTTAAAGGAAGATTCTTGGAAACTAATATTTTTTGTTACTTCATTACTTTAAGTTTATGATTTCTGAATAGAGGCAATGAAGGAATAGTAACTATAATCACAAGACTGTATCCTGACTCCTTGTTTTATAAACAAAATTTATTTAACCTTTCTAAGCTTAAATTTTCTCATCTAAAAAATGAGGGTAATAAATTTGCTTCATTGACTTATAATTAAAGAATTCAGTGTGAGCATGTAGGCCCCTTCCTGCATTTGCAAATTCAACCACCAGGTGGCACTATGTGTCTTAGTCATGAGCTATAATTCTATTGGGTACGCTCGTTGCCCAAGATTCCAAAGTCTCCTTCCTCTTTCAGCTATGAACTTTTTAACCTTAAAAAAAAACCAACCAAACAAAAAAACTTTAAACAGCAGTACTTTTCTGGTATTAATCATTAAGTGGAGACTAGAGAGTAAATTATTCCCATTACTGATAGCATTTTAGAGATGAATGAAGCCTTAGAAATCTGTTAGTCTAGTCCAAGGACTGGCAAAAATTATGGATCATGAGTGGAATCAGAGCTTTTATTTTTATGGCCCAGGAACTAAGAATTGATTTTACATTTTTTAATGGTTGCATTTAAAAATATTATGTAAATAGCTATATGATATCCTCTATTTTGCCCTTTGGCCTGTATTTATAATCGAGCCCTTTAACAAGAAGTTTACCTACCCTGTCTCATTCTTTCATTCAATGCATAAGGAAAGTGAGGCTCAGAAAGAGTTAGTGATTCACCCACAGTCCCCCAGCAAGCCAGCAGCATTGCCAGAACTAGAATTGGATCTCCCAACTTCTAGCCCAGCAGTGTAGCTTTCTGTTTTGCTTCTTAGCTATCACATTCTAACCTAAGTCCCATGGTAACCCCACATATTGATGAGAACTGTCCTTTCTAATGTTCCTGGATGTTGTCTTGAAGTCAAGATTTTTTCTGGACAGAAACTTGATTCTTTGACCTCAGACCAATCTAGTAGTATCAGAAGCCTTTCCAGGTGCTAGGTTTTTTGTGTTAGGAAATCATATCTATGACTGGTTTTTTTGTTTTTATCGTAATACTTCTATAGAAATTAGTTTTAGGTTTTAGTAACCTTCACTTGTTTCTCCTGTTTTTTTCCCCTTTCACATAGGAACGAACAAAATACATGATATCACCACTATACAAAATTTATACATCAGAAGGCAAATTTTCATTCATTCAACATACATTTGTGATGCTGCTTCTCTACATCAGCATTCTAAGTGCTTCTGTAGTATTTGAACATGAACAGTCTTTCACTTCAAGTTTTAAGTAAAATAGCCCCCCAACCCCCAATTTCCTTTCTAGGAGGAAACTTCTTTTATGTACAGGGTAAGCAAAAGAGATCTAATCTGTGCTGTCTCATGGAGCTTTTGGTTTAGTGTAAAATCCAATACTTCCTTTTAGACAGTGATCATTTGCAATCAGACCAAGGGTCAGAAACCTTAAAGTGTAAGAAATCAGTTGCTATCCTCCTCCTAAATACTGTGATTTAGAGGATTAGCCAAAGAGAAAATAGTATTTATAGTATCTCTGAGCAATAATTTTTGTTACCACAATACTCTTTTCCAGGAGACCTAACTGATTATAGAGAAATAACGTCTGTAAATATTATGTGGGTACTGTTGGGTTTTTTTTAATTAAAATAAGGTGGCTTAAAGAATTATAGAAACCTGTTGAAAAACACTTCTATCTTTGAAATGCAAATGTTCATATACAATCAAACAAATTGCCAAATGGTCATGTAGACCTAAACAAATTTTAATCAGCAATTTCAGGGCAAATTATCAATATTTTAAAGTAAAAATTTTAAATTCAACATATGAGGTAATTCAGAATAATTTCTTCAACAGAGTAGTTTTGGGCTTTTGTTACTTTTTCAAGATAGATACTGTTCTTTCCTCACATGAATGATAATTCCTAAAGGCCAACTATTTGTCTAAAACAAATTCCTTTATAGAATTTATTGAAAACTCTTTGTAATGTAATCTGGTTTTTATTATAGTAAGTATAGTAGGCTGAGCATAATTGTGGGCCTAAGTTGGACACACAAACCCCTAAGACTAAGCCTGCAAACTACCTTTTTGTACGTATAGCTGCTTTTACGTTTTACTAGACCATGGGGTTCATCTGTGTTGTTTGTGACTAAGACTTGTCAAACATTTCAGATCAGTTTGAAAATCATTCAAAAGGAATATTAGTTTTAAGGAATAAATGATAAAAATCAGTACAAGAATCAGCTTTTTAAAAATAGATTGTATTACATTTAGGGTGCATTTAAATTTTTAATATTTTAGTTTCCAATTTAAAAAGTTATAACCTCTAGCTTTTTTTTTTTTTATTGAGAGTCTCTTATCCAAAATATACACAGCATTCCTTGATATTTCCTGTGAAAATTAGGTCAGATCTATAACCACCTTCTATTGATTTCTCTGAGAATCACTTCTTAAAACTTAATGATTTCTAAAGCATACAAAGTTAATGACCACCTGCCCCTTCCAAATGGCAGTAAGAAGAGCCCTGTGTCTTCTCTGAAATATTGTGCTTATGGTCAGCTGAATCAGTAACGTTTAAGCAATAATATTAGCAACTTGTTACAAATGTATGACCTTGACCTTTTGCCAGTCTCCATATTCTACTGTGCACTGTGCTAGCCTCCCAAATTTCATTTTTTGAGAGTTAATTTGACTTAAATTGTTAGATTTTGATGTGGACTGTAAAGAAACTGTACATTCTAGAAATATTTATAATTCATGCTATATTTTCCTCAAATCCTTCTTTGTTCAAAGGGAACGTGTTGAGAACACCAGTCGCCCAGGAGAGATGCAGGTAACCATTCAAAACCTAATGCCAGCAACTGTGTACATCTTTAAAGTTATGGCTCAAAATAAGCATGGCTCCGGAGAGAGTTCAGCTCCACTACGAGTTGAAACACAGCCTGAGGGTAAGTAAGTCTGTCACCTATCTGTCAGCCCCTTCTGGAGGTGGACATATGAAGGTCTACCTTATGTTTAGCTTTGCACACCTTAGGGGAGTAGAAGATAACAGTTTCTTACCTTCAAAGTCCTTATGAATTAGAAACAAAATTAAGTAAGACAGTATAATTCTGCTGATACTTTTCCATGTATTTATATTTTACTGATCCTTTAAGATTTAGGTCAGATGCCTTCTAGAATCTTTCCTCTGATCCTATCTAATAATGTGTCTCCACAATTTTAAGATACATTTTCACTTTCTTCCTTCAATTATTATGAATACATCTTGCTTATTTTATGGCAAAGACAGAGCCTTTGTTATCCTTTTACTTCCCAGAGTCTAATGTTGTGCCTTGCACATGAAGGAGGTATTTAAAAATTGTTGTCACCTCATCTCCCTATCTTTGTACATACCACACTCTTTAAAATCTCTTTGAGGCTTTATTTAGGACCTGCAGTCTTTCATGCTAAATAGTGGTCCTTCTAATTACATTTCTAAGATTTTATGTGATTGAGATGAGTGTCAGGTTGATTTATATTATAAATGTCTTGTATATCTTAAGTTTTGGTTGTAAAATATAGGCCTGAAATTATAGGAAAGAATCAAATCATAATTAATACTTTTTCCACTTGATGCTTTCTTCTGTACTTCTGTCTTCTTTTAACAGAAGCCACTGTTTTTCCTCAGAGCATTTTCCAGTCTACTTTTACTATTAACTACACTAGTTTTTCTGTGTTAACAAACTTCCGATAATAAAGAGTTTGCTTCAAGTAGGGAGCATGTGAGATACATTTGCAGAAGCTACTGACCAGGGAACTAAAAATATTAAATGAATTTACCAGTGAAAGTATGGAAATAATTCAAGGACTTTACTAGAATAAGTAAAGTCAAGAAACCATGGAACTTCACTTTCTAATGCTGTAGCAAATCATTTTTATTGATTTTAAGATACTAAGATACTAAGCAAGGTATTGGAGATACACGATGAACAAGATAGGACTTCTCCCCGTAAGAATGAGCAGTCAAGATAGGAGGCCATTGATCATTTCAGTGATGGAGACTGAGGATCAGGAATCAAACCCAGGCAGGAACAAGGGGGCCATCAGAGAGTCAGGGGGTTGATCTAAGGAAGAATGTGTTCTCGTTAGAGGGGACAGGTGTTGAATTTCACAGTTATCTGTGTTCAGACAAAAGCAGGAATACTCCATTAGGTTACAAGCTCAATTCCATTAGCTTTCACGTGCAGATATCATACATGAGAAATATTGGGATACAGAACATGGAAAAAATACTGTAAAAAAAAAATGGGTAAGTCAAGGCAGGATCCTAGGAAAAAAATGAGACCTGAGGTTGGCCTGAAGCATTTTTAGAGCAAGCATTCTTGGGGAAAAAAGCAGCATGACCCACATCCTAGAAATAGGATCAAACTGCATGTGCAAAGTGAGTTGTGATGAAAATGAGGGAAAAGACCACTGGATTTAATCCAGTGCAAGTCTTCTATCCGGGGTCTGTGAACCTTCTGAAACTACATGAAAACATCTGTCCGCATTTTCCTTGGAAAAAGTCTGTAGCTTTCATTGTCATTTCAGAGCTTGGGAGTCAAATTGTTGAGAACCACTGGGTTAGGAGGATCATTGTCACATTTAGAGATGAAAGAAAAGCTGGAAGAAGAATAGATGTATTGAGTGCCTGTCATGTGCCAGTCACTGCATTAGGCAGTCAAGATGTAAAGATGAGCAAGACTTGACTTCTGCCCACAAGGAGCTTACAGTCTGGTACCAGAGACAGACAGGCAGACAGATAATAATGTGATGTGCTATCATCATAAGGAAAGTTGGCAGCACAGTCATTTGTTCATACAGTTTCGTTAAAAGAAAGTAGTTAAATAAGAATATAGGTGGAAGGTGCATCAGGTTCTGGTGAGGATATTTTAGGGAAGAAGAGACAATAACATGTTTTGGCAAAAGAAAAGCAGTTAGTGGAGAGAGATTTGCATTTCATCTGGAGGTATTCAGCTTGTGTGGGGGAGGCATAAAAGTTGGAGTCAGCCCTTGGAAAATATTTTACATATTTAGCTTCACTAACTTAAAATTTTTTCCATTTGTTATGCCACTGTACAGCTGAAATGAAAGAATTCATTAGCGCCTTTTTAAGGATTATATTTGCCTACACTTAGCCAATGAATATATTGAAAATGATTTCAAGAGAATTTAGGGACTGTTTTGTTTTCCTTCCCCTTTAATAAGTTAGAGGAGGGGCTGAGCCTGTGGAGTGCGGTGCTGGGAGTGCAGCAGCGCTCCCGCTGCGGGTTCGGATCCTATATAGGGATGACCGGTGCGCTCACAGCGCTCACTGGCTGAGTGCGGTGCGGCCGGTCTCAAAAAGGACAAAAAAAATAAAAATAAGAAAATAAGTTAGAGGATAGTTTTCCATAGCAGCAGAAGTGTGACAAATCCCATCTGTCAGGCAGCACAAAATATGCTCTTAACATTAAGTGAATAATGTGATTCATGACTACATAAAGCCAACAACTGTTAGAGTAACCATATTCAAGTTTCTCTACTTTGGTATCAAAACTAATCTTAAGCTCTGGTGCTATTATTCAAAAAAGCCAGTTTGTTTTGCATTTTGTTAGGTTTTTTTCCCTCCTTCCTAGCTCTTAAATCTAGTGAATGTCTGTTAAAGAAACACTAGTGCCAGAGAAATTATTTTCAAGTATAGAATGTCTACCAAAGTGTAGGCATAGGCAATTACCCAGGATTTGTGTATAAATTGAGACTGGAATCTGTCCGTCAGACAAAAAGAAGATGGTAAAAAGGTAGGTGTATGAGCTGTTGTAGGAGTTAAAGCCATGTGTTAGAATCAAAGTGCTCAGCTCCTGGCTTCACGACTAGCTAACTATCCCATCACTTGGAAAAGGTTCTTAACCTTAAAATTCATCAATAAAGGAGGTGATAATAGCATCTGTCTCATTTGGATTGGTGCAAAAATTAAATGAGAAAATACATGTAAAGCTCTTCTTAATGCTTGACTTAATGCCTAACTAAGCATTTAGTAAATGGTAACTATTTTTAAATTGGACTGTTACCCCTTTACCACGTCTTATTCCTTTACTGTTTTTCTTCCATGCAAGTTTTCACATGTCCTTTCTAAACACAGATCTGATCATGTCTTTCTTCTGCTCATAATTGTTCACTCATTGCCTAACACCTGCTAGAGAAAACCCAAAACTCCATAGCAGGACATTAGAGACTCTTCACTATTTTGGTTCATCGTTCTTGTCAACATTATCTCTCCCACACTCATTCTTGGTTTCAACCAAGCTGAACCACATAACCTTTTTTTTTTTTGTCCTTTTTTGAGACCGTCCACACCGCGCTCAGCCAGTGAGTGCTGTGAGCGCACCGGTCATCCCTATATAGGATCCGAACCCACGGCGGGAGCGCTGCTACGCTCCCAGCGCCGCACTCTACCGAGTGTGCCACGGGCTCGGCCCTAACCCTGTCTTTTCATACAGTGTCCCTATTGATCCGTTGGCTGGAATAATTTTCCTCTTGATATCTGAGAAAACTATTCATTCTTGACTCCTAGAAGACTTCACCAGTCATCCTTCCCTTCTCTGCCCAACCCCTCCTGAAGCAGAATTGTGTACTTTCTATCTATTTTCATTACAGCCATTACCTAAATCTATTATGACTTATGACATTATTTGTAACTATTTATATGTCTGACTTCCCTGCTAGATTGTGAGTTCTTTGTGGACTGTATCCCCAGCGCCTAGCACAGTGTCTGGCAAAAGAAGGATCTCTTTTTGTAGTGGTTGCTTTTATGTGCTGCATAGTCCCACTGCAAAACTAGGATTTTGTAAAACACCAGTGTAGTTCTGCAGTGTATGTTTTTTTCTTATTTTGAATAAATTGGAAATACTACACAGATAATTTCTGGTTTTGATTTGAGTCATAAAAGGAAAATGTGTTTATATATTATCCTAAAACCACTTCAATCAAATCAATTATTTCTTAGCTTTTATTGTTTTTAAATCATGGCCAATATGATAATATTACCAAGAATGGTTATTGAGGAGTGCAGTAAATTACATTTATATTTTGCTTTCTTGAAATTTTCTTTCTAGTTCAGCTCCCTGGCCCAGCGCCTAACATCAGAGCATATGCAACTTCACCTACCTCCATCACTGTCACATGGGAAACACCATTGTCTGGCAATGGGGAAATTCAGAATTACAAATTATACTACATGGAAAAAGGGACTGATAAAGAACAGGTATAAAATGAAGCTGTTTTTCAAGCTATTGATTATAATAGTAGAGTTGAAATATATTCCCCAGACTCAGTAGTTGCTTGACTGGAAGTCGGGGGGGGGGGGGGGGGGGGGGGAGATGTATAGGGAATGAAAAGTTGACAGATTCT